GACATGCCAGTCGTAGTTTTTTTTTATGTTCTTCAGGGTCGATCAACATGCATCTCTCCCACGCACTTTAACGTCACAAGAAATTGTTCCGCTTTGCGTTCAGCTACACAACATTTTGGAAATTGTGGTTATGCTAAATACTTCTCTGAGCCTTATGCTGTGCTGTCAAATCTCATTTGTAGCACTTAACCTACGTGCTTATCCTCTGCCCATTTGGCACTCTAACGAGGCCCAAGCAAACGAATGAATACAAATGTTGTTTGATGCTGACTTTCTATACAAACGTGCACATTCAGTGAATACAAACTTGACGCACATCTGAGGTTATTTTGAATCAACTTTGAATGCAGGCCAGGAGCGTTGGTTGAATTGTTAACCCTTAAGTCATGTAGCTGTGATCAGTTGTAGTCCAGGGAGAGAGGGACCGGGAGGTTGTTGGTCAGGTTGCTGTCCAGTAAACCTCGATAGAACAAAGACTATTTTTGTTTTGGCGTCCCTCTGGTGTGTAGCGAAACAGGAAGTACAGTACATGCAAAAATGGCCATACCCTGCGCCGTATACGTTTCATCAGGGCCCGATAGAAAAGATGAACGGAAATGGTTCTAGACAGGACAGAGATGAGGCAAGTGGCATTAAGGACAGATAGAGTATTATATAAGCGAAGGGGCACAGAGTGAATAGTTTGTGCACAACACAATACAGGACGTGGGCAGCAAAATGCCACCCAGAACCCTTTGAATATTTAAGAATGTGATGATGTAGTGTTGTATAAACCTTTCCTATGTGCTTTGTGATATTCCTGAACAGGTGAGGGACGCCGGACCACGAGAGGCCGAACGAGCTAATCTAAACCTAGAGGACTGGATCCTGGTGAAAGACTTCCGAAGGAAAGGGTGGAAAAGACTGTTCCAGGTGCTCCTGACGACAGCCAGAAACTACAGAAAGAGCAACACTGATTCACCCATGGATACACCCCCTGTAAGAAAGCTCCAGAACCAAAGAAGGAGCCACCACAAGACAGCAGCACTTCAGACACTGCCACACCTGGAGAAGAAAAATCATCGTTGCTGCACAGCTAGCCAGAGCATCGGGCCGTGATCCTTCAGTGGATGCAGCACGAAGAGACATGACATTAACAGCTCTACTTCAAGATGGGACGTATACAATTAAGAGTTGACACCGGCTGTTTGTAAACCAGAAAATAAAACTGAAAAGAGACGTCTCTTGTGAGTCTGTTACAGAATTTCCACTAAAAATAGTATGTCATAAAAAAACATGAGGTTGTGGTGTGTCAGTAAAAAATCTGTTGGAAAAGTCATCGTAGTGTAGTATTTAAAAGGGATTATATTCAAAGTTTATTGTGTAAAGAATAAAGAAAAAAACAGTGACACAAAGCCATAATATAGCATGTCGAAAACGGTCATATAAAAGTCATTTAATCAGGCAACACTTCATTAGAATTTCACAATAATTTATTACACATTACAAATTTGAATAATGCAACGTCTTTGACAATTGGACTCCATCCTGAAGGAAGACAATCGCGGGCTGGTGATGCTGAGGTCAGATGAGGCATAATCCCGCTGGAGTCCAGCCACTGGTCGTGGTGTTGATGAAGGGAGTTGCTGCAGAGTTATAAACGTCATAATGTAGCGTGTCGAAATAAGTCAAAAACGGTCATAGTATAGCATGTCGAAACAAGTCAAAAACGGTCATAGTATAGCATGTCGAAACAAGTCAAAAACGGTCATAGTATAGCATGTCGAAACAAGTCAAGCAACGTAACTACTTAACAATGTTTATGTTATCGATAGCACCCAGCACAGCAAACAAAAACTCTTATCAACTCTCCTTCATCACCCATGAAAACAGAGGCAGCAACACTTTCCAGGTTTGTTTGTTTGAGTGTTACTTTTGGAGGACAGCACAGAGATAAAGCGAGTCAGTTCCATGTAGGACAATATCAGTACATTATGGTAATCTGGGTCCACATCTGCGAGGTGCAAAATAAAGTGATCTCTGTTCTGCCAGTCTTATGTAAAATGGCTTCTCCATGCAGATTCTCCATTTATTCCTTGGCCTTGTTTGTGAATTAGAAACATTTAAATGTGGATTGTGTGTGCAGGGTAAACAGCGAGGGTCTGTATCTAAATGTGATCACAGACATGCATTTTACCCCCAGTGGGTGTCAGTTCTCTGGTTGAAGCTGTCCCCATTGAATGAATACCAGACAATATTGTGATTGTTACGTGAGCAGTTTTTACATAGTTGTCTCTTTTAGCCGGTAGCCGTGGGCAGTGCACACCATCTGGAAGTTTGGCCCTCTCCCAGTCTGACACAGACGGTGAAACAAAGCATGTACTCTTCCTGTCTTACACTTCACTGCAGAAATCTAACACATTGGTGCTTGGTAATCCACCATCTTGCCGTACATTATCAGCAGTATGCTTTTAACAATGCAAATAAATCTGCAGTTGCTTCTCCTGGTGTGCCTGTCATCCTTCCACAGCCCTCTCAGTGCTCATTTAAGTCCTTTGGCTCAATCTCAGCCAGCAGTAGGAATAAAATCGAGCTGTTGGAGCTTTGGGAAGCCTCCTATATACAGCAGCCACTGCACCACTCTCCACTCCTGGTCTAATCTTCCAGAAATGATGTCTCGAATTACCTCCCACTCTCAACCCGCAGTGGTCTGCTGTTTCTTTACAAACGATAAACATTTTGTCATTTTTCAACAGAATGCACCAAATTGCAGATTGGCAGTAAATCTTCAGCAAACCAATGTGCCGCAGCCGTGGCCCTTTCTCCTCCAATCTCAGAAAATAGCCCAATAGTCGCTGCTACCGGCTGCAGATTGTAACTGTAGATTGTGAAGCTTTTTTTATTCAGTGGTTTTATAGCTCATGGCAAACACTTCTTCAGCCTTTTCAGGGGCTCACTGTAAATGTCAGTCCAATGAAGTTAATAGACACTCAGCCATAGCCATCTTTACTTCCACACATTTATTTTATTTTTTTACTCAAGGCTCGGTAAAAGATGTTGTGTAAAAGAACTACCAGTGGTGTGAATCTTTCAATAAGTCCAGGGATGTAGAGGAGAGTAAAATCTTTACGCAGTTCATATTTGTGGAACATACTGCAGTTAACTTATATCGTCAGAGCCAGCGTGAACCTTTAGCATTCATCTCAAATCTGCTTATCAAATTCCTATTATCAAATCTTTAGGTTTAGCATTTGCAACTTAAGTTGTACACAACTAAAAGATTCAGATTGAATCGGCAGACACACTATAGATTTTAGAGGCAGCCTAATTAATATTCACAACCTGTAGCTGCGACATGAATAGGAGATGAGCGGCAGAGGATATGAAGTTATGATAAAATATGTATCGGACACATTAAGGCCGCTTTTATAATCTGCTGCCAGTGATGTTCGCCATTTTTTACCAGCGCCGCCTGAAATATGCCTGCTAACATTACCTCATTGTGTCATTTTTAATAACTTAATAATTATTATAAATGTACATGGTTTGCTGCAGCAGCTGAATGATACAAACAGCCCTTGCTGACCCGACAGACACTTACCTTTGCCACTGTAGATGCTTTCAAAGTTGTAACAGTTAACTGTGCTGGGTTTTGTTTTCTGGCTGAAAGTTCTGTCAGTCAAATCCAAGCGGGCCATGTGGTGAGAACAGCCAGAGGGGCTCCAGTTCCCAAACCCCGCCAGGCTCTTTGTGTTTGTTCAGTTAAACCCCTCATTGCTGAGCTTTGTAGGAAAGAGATGTGATGGAAAATGCAGCTAAGATGCAAAGTGTGGGTCCAGGGTGGTAACTTAGTTTGATAAATATCATGCAGCGTGTCATTTATCATTACCACATGTATCAATGTGTGGGTCGGGTTGTCTGGAGGCCAGTGGAGGGAGTTCATTGAGTTGATGACCTGGTGCAGACGTCTCTGTCAGTCGATGTACTCCTGATGCTGTCTGAATTGTGACGTCTAGCAGGACTAAGTCACGGACTGGACTTGCTGCGTCGTATTGAAGAGGTTTTTTACGAATGACCTGATCATCACTGTTAAGCAGTTCTTTAGCAGTCTTAATCCCTTTTATTGATTTTGGACGAAACAGCTCCAGCGCCAACTGATGACCAGATGACAGGGAGAGCTGCTTCACTATCAGATGTACTTCCACTTGTGTCTGTGATCAGTGGATTCGGACACTTTTCTGAGAGAAATGTGTACATTAGGCAGAGAGAACATAGGAGTTTAAAAAACAACCTTCCTAAAACAGAGTGGAAGTGGGATGGAGACTCCAATTCGCCGCCACTTACAATACAATTTCAAGGTCTTTTCTCCAGCGGGTTCACAACAATTTACACTTCAATTTGTGTGACACTAATGACTTCCACAACCTCAAGGTGTGAATCGCCCACATGGGTTCAATGTGAGGGGAGAAAGCACATCCCCAAATGGCAGAAATAACTTCAACCGAGGGAGTGAGAGCGAAATCTGAAATCCATATCCTACGGATTTATTCACTCGGCTGAATGCCACGAAACAATCTGAAAGCCGTCCATAATTGTGACAATTTATGCATAAGTCGATCCTTAGCCTCAGGAGTTGATACAAAACAAACTGCTTTGTCTGTAAATTAGTATACGAACAATTCTTTATGTTTGAATAATTTGAATTATGTATGTGACACTCACCCATTACCTCACATACACTTTTGTCTGTAAGGTTAGTTTGACATTAAACGTTTTAGATCATGTAGAAAAACCTTTGGCTCGTTTACAACCTGTCAGATTGTTTGTGTTTTCTTGGCCCTGAAGCTGTTGTGTTCCCAGAATCTCTGCAAGTACAATTTTGTCATAACCAATAACACGATGGCCAAACCTAAATAGTGATACGTAGTATTAAATCCTTTCAAACATTGAAGTCAAACTGTCGTGTAAAAGACCTTTTTATGGAGGAAAAGGAAATAACTTATGACAACTTTATCCAAGGGTGAATGATGGTTTTACAAGTCATATTTTATTCCATGTGCTTTACAAGGATATAAATAATGGCCCAAATTACAAAAATCAGTGTGCTGGAAGCCCAAGCCTATGTACATAAGTTGGTCAGCAGTGATGTCACCATATAACCCATCTCAGTCTTCACTCAAAATACAATCTCTACAATCTACCACTTCTTTTCATTTCCAACCTTTATTTTGGTACCTTGTTTCCAGTGCCACGTACTGCAGATCCTTTATTCTTTTCTCTTTTACATTACATGTATGAACAATGAGTTGGCAAAATATCTATGTACATTTTATGATCGGATAACGTCTCATCCAAATAATACAGTAATACTGCGTTTAAAATATTACATCTGCTAGATAAGAGTAGAGCCCCGTGAGAAACGATGGAGTTGACCTGACATGAGTTAGCTAGCCACCTGCAACATTCACTCTGAGTACAAGGATGATCATATAGTTTCAGATTTTTTTTTTAAAGGATGGCCATCATTCTCAAGCCCAAGGTTTTCATCTCATCATATCATAGAAAAATAATGTAACATTAAGACAACAGACAAGAATTGCACAAGAATAATCATAATCATCATGGTAATATAATACTCTCATATTAAACATTAAAATGTCGGGCAATACGAATAGAATACTTTTTTTTTTTTTTTTTACGCCAGATGCTGTTTTGTTCACGCCAGATGCTGTTTTGTTCACATAGGTTTATAATCCGTTATGAGACATCTCATAAGGACACACCTGTTGCATCTCCAGCGTGCTGCAGGGTCTAATCACATTTACACACTTGTGCATATATCTCTGTATTATATTCTGACTTTAAAGAAAATTTAAAAAAAGACCAAAAAGAGCCAGCCGGCCGTCCTCAAACCCCATGCCCGTTCCATCAATGACACATGCCCAGTGGTGCCTTTAGCGAGTCCATTGTCTGTTAACCAACAGATGCCCTGTAACCACACTGACCACCCCCAAAAGGTCACAGGTCACGCCTCCCAGTTGGGCTCTTAAAAAAAGATCCTGCTGTAGTTGGAGAACGTCGAGGCTGCTTTCAAATAAGTGTACATTCAAGATGCAGTCCTGTTACTGTGTATAAATGTCATATGTTTATCATGTGGATGAATGATGTTAGAATTTTGTAGTCAACCTTAAACACTGTGGAGTGGCGTCCATGTTTGTAGTCCTTTTGTAATCCATTTTGCATTGTGTGTGTGTGACAAGGTCCGTGTTTAGGGCTGGCTACATTCTTTGCATTCCACAGTAATAGACATGAGCGTCCGGCATTGCCCTGCAAATGAGATGACATCACTTATCGAGAGAGCCCTCACACCCCGCCTCTACACCGGCCCCCCCCCCCCGCTCAGCAAGTCTAAAATGGCCACCATGCGTCTCACAAGCCACATGCTAAACCGATTACGTACAAGATGTTGTCCCCTCTGAATAAAATAAGGTTCATGGCCAGGGAGAAATCCATTCGGTTAAAATAAATCTGAACATATACACACACACACACACACACACACACACACATGTGGTGGAAAAGGTGCTATAAAAGCGAAAAACAAAAAGAAATTCTTCCCGTGTCACAGGACATGTTTAAAGGTGTGTGTCAAAGAAATTCACAAGTTTGTTAGTATTTTCAAAAAAATAATCTGATATAAAGGATCAAAAAGTTGTAATACATTCTAGTAGCCTGCTGGATGAACCAGTTTGAGTCAAAGAGACTGTGCTACATCACCTCTCCTGTAATTCAGCGCTCCTCTTTGATTAAAAAAATGTTTAAAAAGTCTGAACTTTCCTCCAGCTGTCATGTTTCGACAACCGCCCTCCTCATTGTCAGCTCCCGCACTGGGCTCAACAGACAGCTAAAACACTGTCACAGCTCTTAGCAGTATTCTGGTTACAAATGTCATTCAAGTTGTCAGGGGCAGTTGGACAAGGGGGCAGAAGATGTAGAGAAAAGCGAGCGATGGAGGCAGTCAGAGGAGAAAAAAAAGAGGAGAGAGACGAAGCCAAACGGTTGCACCCATCAACAGGAACAAAAAAAAGAAGAACAACTGACTGCTTGACCGCTGACTGACTGACAAACAGGAAGTGGGAAAAAAACAGAGCTGACAATTCCCCCAACAGGTGGAGACACAGAAGTGCACCACAGCCCCGGGGTCATGCGCCAGCCCTGCAGGCAGGAGGATGGGGCCCGGGCCAAAGAAGGGCAGAGCAGAAACAAAAAGAGAGAAGAAGAGACAAGGAGAAAGAAGAGAGAGAGACAGCGCAGTGCCAAACTTCATCATGCAGTGGACAGGCTCGGCTAACGGGGGACGGGGCAGGATGTTTTGTTTTTTATTTTTCAGCCGGTGAGGTGACGCGGCGGCGTGCGTCGCTCGTACCCAACTCCGGGGGCGGGGCCCCAGTACAGGGCAACCTCTGAAAGGCACACACACACAGGAGTGGACAAGGCGGGTGTATGTTAGAAAATAGTGGTCTCGTACTTGGTGTTGACTCCTCTCTTCGCCTCCTGACCCGGCTCCACAATCCACGGCACGTTTGCGTGGCCCTTCTGGTCCATGGACGGCTGCTCCATCTGACGGAGAGACGGAGAGAGGGAGAGGAAGCAGAGAGAAGACGGAGGAGAGACAAATTACTCTTAACGACCTGCATATTCTCAATTATGCAAATAGTAGATATCTTTGTATTGATTTTGCACTTCTTTAGATGCTGGATGCAAAACTTCATCATGATACATTTGGAATGCAAACAGCTGTTCCTGTTGACAATCGTCATTTTGCACACTGTAGGGGCAACTTTCTGTGACAACATAATGCTAGCTAAGTCAGTGAATACAGAGGGAGACGGTGGAAGGAATGAGATGGAGGAAGTGTGAATTTGGAAGTTAATGTGATGAAAAATAATAACTCAAACGTGAGAGGCGGCTAACGGATCACGGACAGAAGTTCACATTTGGTTTAATTTTCCATATCTATACATTTCTATGTGCAAGATCCAGCTGGTCCTGAACAATTGCAATTACTACGTGCTGTATTTGCAGCGGTGCACTTCCTGTACATCCTAGTAGTTTCGATTATCAAAGAACTGTGGACTCTGTCTGTTGCTGCCACTGTAAAGCTATTGTGGCTTCAGAGCTGAGAAATAAACCAAACAATCTACACTGCCTTCAAAAATAACCCCACGGCAACCAATCAAGCGGCCGGGTTTTGTTGCTGAGGGTGGTTTTCCTCCAATCTATTGGTTTATTTTCAGGTGATTTGGGGGAGGGGGGGGGGACTCGACTGTGAGAGCTGCAGTTTTGACAGCAGAAGACCACATTTGTCCTTGCACATCAATTCTAATTATGTCAATAGACACATATATTAAATGTAACTACATTTTATATAGATATTTTATAAAGCATTAAAGATCTACTTCTTGAGTAAACAGGGTTAACCTCAAAGTTCTGCAGTGCACTAACAGAGCCATGTTTCCTTATCTTGTCTCAACACGCTGCTACAGCAACACTACGGAAACTTACTATAAAATAATCCAATTCTCTATCCTCTCTCACTCACACACACACACACACACACACACACTCGGACGACCACAGCAAGACCTTATAATCATGTTATGGGGTAACAGGATTAAGGAACAAACACACTTTCGATCACAGAAGATCAATATAGTGCAGAACTCGTCTTCAATTCAGCAACCACACATGAAGCCACTGAATGAACTATGCCTGCCTTCAAAATACGTTTTATATCAACCCCTTTTTTTTGGGGTTTTTCTGCTGAAGGCTCCGGACATAAGAACTTGAAGTAATGCTGCAGGGACATCACAGTGTGTGTGATTTGGCTTTGAAAACCTTCAAAGGACAGCAAGCTCCGTTATCCAATCCCATGCAGAACATGCCATTTTGCAGTGTGAGGCTAATATCACTTTAGCACATTTGAATCATTTCTTGGTACACACTGTGTATGCTCCGCTACTGCAGTCTTCTTTTGACGGCCCTTTCAAATATCCAACTGCCTTGTGTGCAAGATGAAGACGTGGATGAGCGAGAAAAAGAGGATCAGAAGGAAAAACACTCCAAGCGTAAAAAAGCTCATTCCAAGCATTCAATTGAGGTTGTAATGGACAGAGTGCTTTAATAAACATTCAGCTGATTTTAAAGGAGTTGTTATTGCTTTATTTACACTTTATTTACCATCTCGACCATGCATCTTTAAGGAGGCAGTGCATCCCCATCCAGTGGTTGAATCGGTGCAGCGAGGCTCATAAAAACTGACTGGGGCGCTAAAGTCGAGGGCTGATTTCTGCTGATTTTATTAGCAGTAAAGTAATGAAATGGGTTGGCTCAGTGTCACATCTGGGTTTTCTTCTTATTCTAATGCTATTGATGTGGAGCTAGAGGTAGTAACTGAAGAATGAGACACACAAACACTCGCCGCAAAACAGACCACACAAGGATGCAGGGTGAGTTTTGAAGAAATAAAGCGACAGAATAAAATGGAAGCACTTACAGACGGCGCTTTCCTCTGGACTAAAAGAAAAGTCATGTGGGAAATAAAGGATAAGAGAAGGAAAAAAGCGTGGAGGACCTGCGACTGAGCTTTGTAAGGAAGATGGAAGAGTCGAGGGGGAGGAAGAGGAGGGTGGAGAGGAGGCCGGTGAGGGGTGTAAATGTGGCCCAGTGACCAGCGGCTGACGGGGGGCATGATGACCTACAGGGGCAGAGGTCATATACAGGTCAAAGTGGGCCCGCTCGGCAACAGCAAACACCGAAAAACAGCGAAGCAGCAAGGCAAAGAAAACCACAGCGATGACAGAGCAGCTGCATGGCAACAGGGAGAGGCAACAACACTCCAAAACCAAAAGCAAAACCATGGCAACAACATGGCAGCGAAGTCTTTCGCCCCGGCAACAGCGTGGGACAAAACTACAGCAGGCTACGTTACGCCACATATATATATATATATATATATATATAGAAACTCTGGCTTGGCAAAAAAACACTCCGAGCAGGACGAATACGGCACGGCAACTGAACAAAACATCTGCAAAAGCACCTTGACAAGCCAGACTCGTATTCAAATTTATTTTTCTTTTTTTTAAATCTAGAAGTCATGAAAAATCCTGCCAAGGAGGTCAGAAAGCTTGTGGTTATATTTGATTTGTTCTTGAGTTCTTGAGAAAAGTATAAACTCAAGGCTGCTAGACTGCCTTCTGCATGGAAACAAGCTATTTTCACATCACTGGGAGGCTCTTTCACTCCTTCTTTAAGAAACCCAAGATTGTGAGACTCAATCATACAGGGTTAGGGTCATGTGTTGCAATCCTGTAATCCGATTACAGTAACATGCCGAGGCTGATCAAAGACAATAGTCACATCAGACACGGTCACACTCATAAGAGCAGGTTAAGTGGATGTTGAGGGAGATTTATGAGCAGATATACGCTCACATAACACACACACACACACACACACACACACACACACAACATAAAAACATAAGTAGGAAGGTGTGGAGAAACGGATACTTGTGGGCAGAAAAACAAAGCGACAGTATTTTAAAGCGCAGGTGCTCGAGTGGTGCTGCAGGATGGAGATTATGGCTGGCAGGTGGCAGGAATATTAAGTGAATCCTGCAGTATCTTTGCCCTGCTGCACACCACAAGCCATTAAGTACACCACACACACACACACACACACACACATACATATGAACAGAGAGAGGAAAAAGGCAATTAATGGTTAATGTAACGGTTGCAGACTCAGCAGATTGTGCATACACGTGCCATCGTCCATCATCTCTGTAGGCACGGGACCACACACACACACACACACACACACACACAAGCTCTTTTTCTATCTTTTCCTCAGCGTCTCACGTCCCGCTCCAACTTTAGAAAGTGAGGCCATTTCTCCTCCATCACCATCTCTTTCTTCTGTGACTCACGCAGTATGTAAATCGACTTAAATTTAGTCTATAAGCACACTGATATAGCAGCCGCCGTAACTCTATACCGGGCCCTTTAGACACACATGTGCTGCTGTGCCAGCCCATGCGTGTCGGCGGAGGAGTGTGTTAGTTAGCGTGACTATTTTGAAGCTCTGTCGGGGGTTAATGGGAGGTTGACAGGTCTGCAGATAGACTTTGTGACGCTGCGGTTGGAGGAGGCATGAAGAAAGGCGACACATGTTTGCACAAACACACACACACACACACACACACACACACACACACACACACACACACACAGAGCAATTCATGACAGAATGCGGGACCCAAGTATCTAATATCACAAACTTAATGCTGGTATCAATATCAAACAACTGTTAAAGGGACCCTGTGGCATTGTTTTGTACCACTAGCAGCATGGTCTGTAGATTCTATGAACACATTACAGTTTGGGTGTTGCTCGAACACATTCTCAGTCAATAAACTAATTCTCCATGCAAGGCTGCAGTATGAAGGAATCTTCCACATGAGGATTCTTTATCTTCTTACACACACGCACACACACACACACACACACACACACAAGGAGAGCTAAGCAAGCCTCCCCAGAGCCCAATGCAAACAGGCCTCATCAATCAGCCCAGTGTGGAAGAGACTGCAGGGACAGGAAGACCGAACGGACGCTTAACAGATCAAATATCCACCTACACCTCTGCCACAGTGTCCGCTGGGCCAAGACTGTCAAACGCACAAAACACAAGCGCTCCAGGATAATCCCAGAGAACCAAACTGGGAGGTGAAAACAAAGCATTTGGGAATGGCTGAGACAGGGGAACGACTCAGAGCGGAGGGACGGACAGATTCCAGAGCGAATGGGACAGAGTTGATGGGATGCTGGTGAGATGTGATTAGAAGCAGAGTGTGAGAGAGGTTTTATCACAAGTGAAAATCCATCTTAAAACACATTACTTCTTGTTATAATCAATCCTGTACTGTATATTAATTTTGGAAAGGACATCTAGACCTTACGCGTATTATGAAACCATTTGTAGAGGATCCAGTTCTTCCAGGTTTTTTTAAACCAACATTCTTCAAATTCATCAAAAATGTTGCCGGTGTGAATTTCAGCTTAGGATGGATTTTCCCTTCAAACAGATGTGGGGCGGTGCGGCAGCGATGCTTACAGATTTTCGGATGTTGACTCGAGGTTTGGGGACAGGTTTGCTGGGCTTGCTGTCAAAGCTCTCGGGCAGCGTGGACGATCCGTGGCCGCTCTTCCTGGCCTGCAGGGCCAGCTGATAGGCCACCTCGAAGGCCTGGCCGAGCGTCAGGATGATCTCATACGCCAGGTTCTGACAAGACGGTAACGGCGCCAGAATGCAATGTGTTATTACAGCTGCTGTGAATATGACATTCACTTTGAAACACACAGTGTCGGTGTACTGACCACATCAAAAGCAGTAAAGACGTGGCAGTAGTGGTGACTGGACTTGAGGTCTTTGGTGATGTAGGCAAATGTAGACAGGTCCTCTGGATCCTGAGCCGCACACGAGATGTTACGGATCTCATGTTCTGCTATGATGTTCTGCAGAGAGAGAGAGGGGGAGAACAACAGAGGCAGAAAGATAAAGAGGTGCAGAGAGAGAGAGAGAGAGAGAGATTGCTGATAATCTCTAGTGAGCCAATTCATGGAAAAACAAATCTGATTTATTATTCATCTAATTTCACACACCCCCAAAACCATAATCACTGGAGCACATTTTTGTTTTGAGAGTTTTCTGGAGTCACTGAGTTGGAATTTGTCCTCTGGTAATGTCACTGGAGAACTCTGTGTTGTGTTAATTAAAGCCTCCGTGCTGTGAAATGCAGAACATCAAAGCTTTAGTGAGAGAACATTACTGTTGTTGTCATACTAGACGGCCTCATCTTTGTCGCTGATTCTATAAAAAGATATCAGCCTATTGTTGGTTTTGTTGGCAAGTGAGAACCGCTCCCTCCAGTTTGTTTTATGTGTTCACTGGGACAGCAGATAAGATACGGAGACGAAATAGGGAAGATTTACTACAATCATAAAATTACCCAGAGATGTGAATCCAGGTAAAGCCACTGTCCCTTTTTAGTTTGCCTTATCCCCTCAATATATTTAATATTTATGTCTTATTAACTACAATGTGCTGTACTCTTCCTTCTGTGTATATTATTTATGTATTGAGGCCAACTTACTTGAGTCTGCTCTGTGCAGTGCTGTCTGAGGAAGAGCTCAAAATGTACCGACTTTCTGCAAATGATGCTCATCTTCTGCTGTGTGTGTGCTTCGGTGCATCACAGAAGCTTAAATAAAATTTTAAAAAAAACATTTTGCAAGCAAGCAGCTTATAATTATCTTTAAAATGTGTCTCACTGTGCCACCTTTATTACCCAGCTGAGGTGGATTAGATCCTACCGTCTCGCACGAACGCACGGGAATCAGCTCACGATCGGAAATAAGTGACTCCTTAGTGTGACATCATTAGCCGGGTTAAAAACACTGTCTGAGTGTGACGCGCTGACACACGCTGAGCACCCTTCACTCAAATGTCACTCTGGATGGAAAAGGAGACGATGATGATAAACCTTTAAACGGACCGTTGAGGAAGCATATGTACAGAATCACTTCTGACTGTTCAAATTCAAAAGACAGTTGAGATGGTGAAGGGGTCTGTGTTGGAGGAAAAGTGAAGAACAGCTGGCAAACCCAGCGATTCACTCACACTGGCAGGAGGTAAAGAAATGACCGATCTTCCGGTCAATAATGCAGCTCACTCTGTGGCGCAAGACAAATATCTATTGAAGCTATTACTACAGCAAAAGAGCTGCAACACAAAGACTGACTGGATGCATAGAGAGAGATATGACTTTTGGGCATGTATTACCATCAGTATAACGTGTGTGAATGCATAGCTAACCAACTGTTTGTTCTGTTTTTTTGTATTTCTATGCTTCTTTAAAAAGTAAAAAGCCCATTCCATTCAGGATTTAATGAACTGAGTAGGTTGTTATTGATTTTCCAAGTCATCCACTCCACACTGGTTATTGCCTGTTTGTGTTTTGCCCTCTTTTACACCTTATTGATTTTCGCACACCGTATAGCTTTAAATCAGTCAGGCTGCAGCAAAAGAAGACATCGGCGCTGCTGCCGCGCCGGCCATTTCTGACGCCTCTGAATGTCACTCGCGCTCGTGTTCAGAAGCTCGACCTTTCAGGTGTTATTCACAGGAAGTGAGCGGTGCGCGCGTTACCTTATTTGTGGCGTCGATGAACTTCACTCCTTTGTAGGACACGGAGAGCACGATGGTCGGCACTTTCTTCATCTGTTCGGTCGACTTCTTGGAGTGCGCGGAAAGAAAAAGAGAGACGAGAAGGAAAGATTATATTTGAGGCACGACGTACATAACAGCCCAAAGAAGTGCACGGGAATCAGTTTATTATAAATAGTTAAAGATTAATGAATTCCTCCACTGAATCTAATACCCTGTTTATTTTATACATGACTCAATCCATGTCCCCGGGCCTACAAGCAAGCGAGAAAAACAATGAAAATGTAAACAGAACTTAAATAAAGAAAGCAAGAGCTAGCTGAGCTAACCCATCAGATGACTCCCGTCCTCTTCCTTTATACTTTGAAGTCAATTCAAATAATCTCCAACGCTTGGGGGTTGTCAGGCGCCTCATAAAAACACAACCGCGTCGCAATTACATTTCCAAACCCAATTGACTGCAGCGCTGCAAATCGAATAAGTCTATTAGCTTTTAAGCCACATCGGTGCTCCTTCTGTATATCCCTCCTTATTCTTTTTAATTACACATCGGCACTTTGACGTGTCTCAATTACCTATATTCAAACTCATTATGCAGTGAGGTGCTGTGGAGAATCATGTGATTTACAGCGATGTCGGCGTCACCCTCCAAAGCTGTCATTCTACCTGCCAAGAGATTTTATGTATTCAAAGGAATCGATGTGAGATGAGTCCCTTTCCTGCTTTCTCAGTATCACTTATTGCTCTTTCATCACTTGTCATCTCCTTCTCTCAGTATCCATATTTCTATCACACTCCGTCCCTCATCTCTCCCCTTGTCGAATCCACTCGCTGCTATCCTTTCCATATCTGTTTTCCCTTCTTTGTTCCGTTTCTTTCCTCCCTGCTCGCAGCGTGTCGCTGCTGCGGTTCGGCCTTGTCGGGATCAGGTAGTGCTGAAAAGCTGACAAAGGCAGCGCTGACTGGCTTCGCTGGCAGATACCCAGCTAGAGGCTGTGAAGTTGGGATTAAAACATCCACATCTACCTCCACAGCGGAACGATGGATGGGCAGATGAGAGGAGGGATGCTGGGAACGGGGACGAGCGGGTGAAGATGGAAGGTAATAAAAAGCCAGAACGATATGATTTGCATCTCATCGCACTTAATTACAACCTTGGTTTGCAGCAAAGGTGTGTCAAACTGAGGAGGGAAAGAAGAAGAAGAAAGTAAGATGCCCTATGATGTGGCAACATAAATATAGAGACAGAAGGGAAAGAGGGAGGGGAGGAGGAACAGAAAGCTTTGCACATGAATATTAAACTTCATCTTCGCACTGCAGCAGCTCAGGATGAGAGAGAGATGAACTGAGGGCCAGAGGAGAGTTAGTGTTACAGTAAAATATGGAAAGAGAGAGGGAGCAGGAAGAAAGAGCGAGGTGAGTGAGAGTGAGAGGAGATAAGGTGATCTGAGGTGAAAAAGGGGGGTCAGGGGGTGTCAAGCCACCCCAGGCAAATATTAAAAAGAAATCCCTCAATAAACCTAATCCACCATAATGATAGTTTAAGTTTAAATACTAATGTGAGGGCAGACTATGAGACTGTGTCCCAGATTTACATTTTTATTGCGAGAACATTTACATAATGCAGCCACGTGCATTCATGTTTAATTTATCACAACTCGGGTTGTATTTCTGTAGCTTCGTTCAGACTCGTTTTAGCGTTGTCACTACGATATGTTCCAACATCTCAGCAATAGATGTTAATAGCAACAGTAGAAGAAGAAGTGTGTTGGGCTGAGCTTTACCCTCATTTTGGCACAAGCGTCTTGTGTGGACTCCGTCCCTCTCAGCTCCTTCACCAGCATGGAGCCCAGGTACTGTGGAAGAGACACACACAACGGACACACAGTATGCTTAGTAAACAGTACACATGGGGAATATGGAAGTGAAGGTCTGGCTGGTTACACAACTCTGCAGCCATACTAACCTCCTAATCTCTGCAAGATACCAAACAGTTGGCTTTTAAATTGTCATTGTACTTTTTGTTTTTGTTTATTCAATCAAATAAATGGACACAAATTTAACGTAATGTAATTATGTATAGCACTTCTCTGTGACAAATAAACTCAATTATTTCTTATATTTTGAGTAATTCATGGATGCCATGTTTACTTCCAGCTGCACTAGCACAGGATGTGATTAAATGCACACAGGCACACCCACAGCAGTGATTACATCCACCTTGAGAGGCTCCTTGAGGGACCCTTTGTGGTCAGACATTCTGCACACGCAGTATCTGATTTAATAAAGCAGCAACTAATGGCGACTGTGTTTTACAGGGACAATGTTTATGTCAACATTAGAGCACTTAATGTGTGCGACATCCACCACCTCGCAGTGGACTTCCGCTTATGGAAGAGACCTTGCTCTTTAAAAGTGGGACTCCAAAACCCAGAACTGAAATGTTGAATATCTACCACACGGGATTTACATTCGATTAGCGATAAATTAATTATGGGGGCAAAACAACCTTTTGTACAAATTGCTTTGTTGGGGAGTCTGTTCCTTGGAAGAAGGTCATCTGGGCATGTTAATAATTTGTCTTGACTCAAGCTAACAATCTTAAATCGCTGTTATGGCAGGCTTACTGGCAGTTATCCTAGAAATTGCATTACAGCTGCACACGAGACCAGCTGCCGTCTTGTCTACCGTGTCTCTGTGGCAGTAGTGGTTGGTGTACACAAACACACAAGTCTTTTTATCCAAATGAAATTCAAAGATGTTGGTAAGACTGAGAGACGACAGCCATGCTAGCAGCTATGTGAGGCTGCTGTAGGCAAAGTGGTGCTTTGAGCTAAATGCTAACATCAGCAAGCTAAATGGTCACAGTAACAACGCTACCATGCTGATGCTTAGCAGGTGTAATGTTTAACATGTTCACAAGCTTAGTTTAGTGTGTAAGCATGCTAATATTTGCTAATAAGCACTAAATATGAAGACCTAGACTGATGGCAAAGTCATTAGATTTGCATGTTTTTAGTAATAAACCAGGCGGCGATTCAATAAGGGGAAGAACTCCCTAATATGTTTGTGTATTTGATGTATGTACAGATAGAAAAGAGCACACAGAGTCATTGTTGAGATGATGCTGGCTGGTAATGATGTAGAGTGTGGTAATGACGTTAGGGTATGTTGTCTGCAGGGTTTCACTGGAAATGAATTTGTAATAACGTCAGATAATATTTTCGAGCTCCGGTTGTAAAACGGACATAACAAAGTTCGGATGCCATCTGAGGTGCTGAAAGTCGAGGAGAGCGTTTTTTTTAATTTAGATCCTGAGATGAAAATGTGAACTGTGCCTTTACTCAGTCCTTTTGGCTTTTTTTACCGTCCCTCTTTCTCTATTAGCACCAGCACAATATACTCTCTTTCCTCTCTCCTTATCCATCTAATTTATTCTTATTCACTCTCCATCTCCTTCCAGCTTGCCAATATTCACACTGAGCGCTCTGCCTCCCCCTCTGTTGTGGCTCCCGCTCATTTATCTCACTTTCTGAGCTTCCTGGAGACCATTGTCCTGGGACATCCAGCGTTTTTTAGAGATGTTGACATAAATGGCTGCATGAAAGCACCTTCTTATTTCCCCCATGTGGCCCACCCGTTGCGTGTTCCCCATCATCCGTCCAAAACACATTGCTTGTGTAGTTGTACATCTGTCAGAGGCCTAATGGTCCACGTTGTTTCTATCAATCTTCTGAGGTGAGAAAACGAAAAAAGAGGACATTTTTGACGAGCCCATGGGATTCTTTTATCTCTTATTCAGTCAGCCTCTATCTCATCTCGCTTTCATTCATATTTGATTTCAGCATCACATTTGATTTCTCAACCCCCTGTCCTATTTGTTCAAACTTTGATTTTTTTCCATCTCTCTCAAACCATCTTTTTCTTCTCTCCTCTTCTCCAGTTCTTTCTTACTCAATCATCTTCTAGTCCATGTCTTCAGCACAACGCCAACAAACCAATCAGAACGTGTATTTCTGAGATTACGTTCCCTCTGGACGTTTCCAAGAGCCAATGGGATCTTAAATTGCATTTCTTGCACTGCTGCAAGTAAGTAATCATTCCAGTCTGGGTGCTGAGCATACAACCAATCAGATGTGCAAGGCTGTATCCGTGGTACCGTGGATATATAACATCCTTTATGTAACAACGGTCTAAATTTACCAAAGTGCTGAGAATAACTGAGTGCAGTATTGACTGAAAGTTTAGGGTCATTGATCTTTAATATTATTACCCTACCTTATGATCAGTTGAAATGGTCATTTAATTAATGAACCACAGAATTATGGCAGCAGCTTTGATGATCGATTAACTGTTTTGTTAACCTGTGAACTGTGGACAAACTCACAGACAAGAAGGGGGAAGGGTAGGGGGTAGGGGGTAGGACTCACGTAGGCTTCGTAGTCACAGGACTGAAAGATGAGCTTCTCGGGGTGATGCTGCCAGTACTGCACCGGAGTGGACGAGGTGGCCTCGTTGGGCGGACGCAACGTGATCGGCTCGCACCACTCGCCAGCCTGGAACGACACGAACGGGATCACACATGTTAACAAGATGTGGCGTGACGTCGAGGCCCGTGCTGTGTATCCCATGTTGACATAACATCGCTGGCCTGATAAATGTGTGTAAGTTCATAATGTAACAGCTTTCCTGACCGAACATGAACATGCCTTCAAAGGGGACACGCTTCGGAGAACATCCGAGAGGAAATGAAACTTGGATGAATTATGCTCGGCTTTCAAATGTTCCCGTTCTTTGGCTCAGTTTAAGACTGTTTGCTGCTGCTCAGCTCTTTCTCACCCACTGAGCTTTCACCTTTTAAACAGAGTAAATACCTAAAGCCTATCTGCATACTTCTCAAATGTCTGCGGACAACAATTACCTTTTTTATGGTCTTTCATTCTTTGGTAAAATGAAACCAGATGATGTTCTAAGCACACATCCCTTCCCAAAGACTGTATGTTTATGTGCCTCTCCATATCTGATTGCTTGTGTGTGTGTAATCCCCGTCAGAGTGTCGGTGAGCCACTGCGGAGGTGAGATCTTGCAATCAGATGCAAAGATGTTTGATAAAAAGCCTGGGGATAAGCCTTCAGAAACAGGCATAAGCCAAATCTACGCTAAACCCCAACAGCTTAACTGTTTTACGCATGTTCTGTCCCACACACTTTGACCCAGCTGCCGGACTCAGCTGGAAATCTTCAGTTACTAAAAGTTTTTAAAAACGTGTTGAACCTGTTTTCCTGGGTTTTGTTTTCTTAAAAAGAAAGGAGAGGAAGAAACGAGGGAACAGCCAGAGAATAGGGGTGATTAAAAAGATAATAAATATCCTCTTTTCTCCAATAGTTATCTTTCCATTCTGGCAAAGCTGACTCATCAATGCCACCTCGAGAGGTGCTGTTTCTAGACGGGGGGACACTGTGACGCACACACTTATTAAGGGATTCGGCGGGCTGAACATTAGTGTGTGTCAGTCTGCAGTGGGATGCTCTGCGATTCACACGGAGACACAAAAAGACCCTAATTATACTGAATCACAACACAGCTGCTCTCTCAGATGTGTACATGCGTTAGTGTGTGTGTGTGTGTTTCTGATTAGAAGTCATAAAGTTATAATTTTGAGTTTAAATGAGAATAAATTTGGCAGTAAAGTTGAGACGCTTGTTAATGCAGAACGATGAAATCTTTTGATGTTTGATATTAGAGACAGACTGATAAACATCTATTTGGTAAAGCTGTAGATTATGCCTGATTGCATTTGTAAGCATGCCAACCAAACTGTTGCACTCCGCCCACTGCATTGTGGTTTGCATATTTCATCGTGTTTTAGCACAAAGTTTCAGGCATAAATTTCATGTTTCCTTCATTGTAAAAATGTATACAAGCTCTAAACTGCAGAGACGACAGCTGGCGTCAGATGGCCTGCCTGCTGCGGATTATTAATGCTGTCTTTTCAACGAGCAAACAGGCAGATAAAACACTTTTGGCTTTAATATTGTAGCTATTAGGGACAGCATTTAATTACTGAGATACTTCATGTATGATTAAGATCTACTCCACCGTCCTCATTAGAAATGTGATGCTCCCTGAAAGTCCATTAGTTTATTATAGCTTTGAATTTCTAAAATGAGAGGATGCAACTTTGAAATCAGATATTTAATCATAATATTTTATCATTTAACTACAGCAGGAAGTTAAAAAACAGTATCAACGGATGAATCTGGAGTTATTCTATATAATGTTTACTGTCAATAATCCCATGAAGACTCAAACTAACTGTGTTACTCCCAAAGCAGTCTGCCCTTTAGTATTACTGAAGAAATACTACAAAAAAAAGTGCATTTGTTGGGGACTATTTTCTGCTGACTCAGAATTATCTACGGTCCCCATGTTCATGGCAATTAATAAGGAACATGTCACCCAGTGTGGCTCATTGATGTGTTTTTAATAATGTGGAGCTCTGTGGCAGAGATGACGTGTTTGTTGCCAATAAGAAAAATATAGAATATTACCTAATCTACCCTCTCAGCATTCAGCCAGACAACTGTCTGATTTCCACCATTCATAATACTCCCCCCCCCCTCTCTCCCTGTCTCCATTCATCCCTCCATCCTGTCCTCCCTTCCTCACCATGCTGACTTGGGCCATCTGTCGCTCCAGCTTGGATCGCGGCACGTCCTCGAAGTAGTTGTCATTGCTGCGCTGCCTGCGCCGGGCGTCCGCCTGCATGATGAGGTGCTGCACGTCCAGAGATCCACCCGGGACCCCCGCCGTGTACGCTGCCTGGCCCACCGACGGGCTGAGCTGGGGAGGAGTGTGGTTCCCGCCGGGCTCCTGGGACAGAATGGGCAAGGGGGGGGGGGGAGAGAGTGGAGGAGTGGAGGGAGGTAAGAGAGGGTTCATTCATCATTTCATCACGTGCTGTGTCACTGCTGCAAGTACAATAAGTAGGGCAATTGCGTTCACTGTGCACTGTCCCATCTTATCTTTTCAGCCACAGTGCCGAATGCCGCTGAGTACTAGTATCCAGAAGTGCTTTTTAGAATCAGGGACAAAGACACCGTACTGTTACTTGAAGGTCTCAGCTGGTACATCAGAGGGTCCTGAAGCAAAACACTGAAGCCTGCCTGCTGACTGTCACTTTAAGTGGCTTCATCCTTAAAGTGGAAAATTATGTTCGTTTAAGTGGTTTTCCAAGCTGAGCAGAGACAAAAATTCCCAAAAGGATTAGAACTTTTATACGTTTTAACGGTATAATGGTTTTACACACTAGAAGGTCAGCTATTCCCCCTGAGAGGTTGCTTGTTTTCACTTGATTACATATGAGAAGAGCCTCAATGGAAGAGGCCCTTTCCGGTGGAGCGTTACGACTTGGCCTCTCGGTTCTCATCCCGAGCCTCATTCTGTTCATTCACCACATTTGTCCTAATGCACCCAGCTGACAGCCACCGTTTGTACTGATACTGATTTAAGGAGGAAATGCTGGTTAAACATACCGTATATGACTGTATTGAGTCATATACAGTATAATCTTCAGCTCTTCTTCAATTACAAGCCAGTGGCAGCTCTTTTCTTGAAGAGAAAGAGGTGCCACTGGCCACTATGTCTAAAGAAGTTTAGGCATAGTGGAAAGCTAAGGCTGATTAGAGGTACAGAAAGGAGCCCAATCAACCAGGACAACACATCCAGCGTCGTCTCAGAAGCAAAGGGCCTCCCTCGGCTCAACATCACAAAGAGCAAGAGACTATTATAAGGACGTTAAAGCGTAGCCCCAATGGGAGAGGGAAAGCCAGTTCCCTGTGATTAGTATCCAGGACAAGCCGGCAGGAAGGAAACTGCAGTGGGTCGGCCATTTTGTGCCTGGCGGAAAGATGTGGGTAATCAGTGGGGAGGCTGCAGCTCCCTCACTCCCCCTCTGGGAAGGAATTAGTGCTTTCTTCCTCTGTCTGATGAATTTATAATTTGAATCCACGTTGAATTAGATATTGCAGAGGGTTTTCATGGTTCATGTAAAACACTGTCTGCTCACTGAGACTCACTCACCCTTAGGGAGATGGCCCGTGGAGGTTTTTGTGGGGTGTCTTCGTGTAGCCGGTCCCCCAATGAGGCAAGGATCCGTTTTCTGTGTCCGATGAGACTGATCTTCAATACCTGAATGAAACACACAGATATATTACACATTCAAGTTACATTACTAGTAGGGTAGTTTGTTTTTAGCTAGTTTCAACTTCTCAAATGTGAGGATTTGCTGGATTTACTCAGTTTTATATCATGTAATCTTAGTATTTTTGGGTTGGACAAAACAAGCAATTTCAAGCTCATAAGGCTATATGAACTTTTGATGAACAATGATTTATCAAATAATCAAATTAAATCTTTTGTTGCAGCTCTAGCCTGAGGTTCAGAAGGAGTTAAGATGTCTGATTTTTATGTTCACTGCAAACACGCAAGAAATGCTGGGTCAAAAGCTACTGTGCTGGCAAAAAATGATGACTCACCGACATTAGCATAATTTAAAACAGCTTTTATAGAGAGTAAGAGTTCAAGGGTTTCCAAAATGCACAATACCGACATCATATTAGCAAATGAAAAAAAAAATTAATTAAAAAAACAACACATAAAAGGTAACAGATTTTCATCATCAGGAGGCTGAAATGGAGGATAATTCTGCTATTCAGAAAAGTGTTTCACAGACAAAAACACCAGCACTCAGGAAAGTGCTAATGAGTGCATAATGACATGAAATGCCCCTGAGCAGGAGCATACATCATGACATTATTATTACATAACTAAAAGGGCTCGGACGGCTGTGTTCAAACTGTTGGTTGTGCCGTTATACACAAACAAGATCGTAGAGTGTACACCTTGAAGTAAAACACACATACCGGAGAGTATAAAGTACCCTGAAGGAGACTCACACACGCAAAGAGACACTAATTAAAATAACTGGTGGTTCTATTTGCTAAAATGTTCTTTTCTTTCAGTCAAATTAATTAGAAATTAAAATATGAAGAGGCAAAGTATCAGAATTCATTTGAAGGATAAACTTTGGACTTGAGTCAGATTCACAAAAAGGAGGACTTGACTTGACTTGACATGAACAAAAACAAGCAACACACCTTGAATTTGTACCCACAAGGCCTCCGTCAGGCTTCAGTCAGAAACACCCCCACACCCCCACACCCCAACACAAACCAAAAGACTTTCAGGTTCAAATTCAACAATATCAGATTCTGGCAAATTTGTAAAAGTGGTTTTCACCAGGCGCTCGTTACACAGGCACAAAAAGAGACAAAGTACGCACACACACACACACTGGTCCACACAGTCTAATGAAGGCATTCATTCTTCCTCCGGTCACCAGGCGTCCACTGACTGTCCCAGTTACTGGGTTTTCTAAAGAGACGAGCTGGAACACGGCTGCTTTCTGCAGAGCTGTTGTTTGCACTGTCTACACCTTCTGGCACCAAGACATACCTCAGTATGCAACAAACTGCTGCCTGGCTTTATGGGGCTGCCTCTGGAGGTCTTCCAATAAAGATATATACGCGTCTGAGGGAACGTGTGCGTGTTTGTGTGCGTCTTCAGGGCAAAAAGGTGGTAATGAGCCTCAATGCGAGGCCTTGGCGCGAGAGTAATGACTCTCCCAACAGTCTTGCTGTGAGTCAGCGCAACTCACGCACACGCACAAATACACACATACTTCATCATCTCACACACCAATTATTGCTCTACATCTGGTAGAGAAACATAAAAATTACAAACACGGGATGCACATACTTTGGTTCATTGTGTGTGTGCATAAACCCTAAACATACAAACAGAACATAAACCCCCACCGTAATGAATAGTGCAAATATGCCAATTACACGCAATGAACTGATCAAGCAAGCCCAACAATGCTAAACATATTCTCTTGTTTTCTTTGCCAAGCAGGTTTCATTCATTACATTTTATGTCAAACAGTAAATTAGGAGAAAGTGCCGTGTTGAAAGTGAGACGAGCAGCTGCTAAGGGGTTAAACTACATCCTACGCTGTTCTTCTCTGCATGGAAATAATGTATTTTAATTGTTAAAATTAGAGGGATCAAAGGGAAACAGAGAGGAGAGTTGGGACTAGCGGGTAGTGGAACTAATTGGTGTATAATGGCCGCCCCGTGCTCCCTCCACCAATTTTTATTCACTCATCTTTCCCCTCCCATCCTCCCTCTCCTCTCCTCTCCTCTCACTCTCTCTTAAACATCCTCCTTTATGGACACAGTGTCAGTTATACTACAGCGTCTCTGCCTCCCTCCATCTCTGTCCGACTCTAAAGATGACATTGACTCGCTGAATTTGGTGCATTTTGTCTTAATCTTAAGCGTTTTTAACTTCGAAAAGAGCTCACTTCCAATACAGCTTGTTCTAAAACTTGACCCGCTGTAAGAAGATTTGATGACGTTTCACTAAACTAGAAGGTACAAAATGACCTCACCTGGGTAAAGGATTACTTTTTCACCTGATGTAGTAATGGTTATGAAATATTCATTCTCTTGCTCCTGCTTCTCTCCCCGTCTGTCTCCTGAGGGGCTACAGCGTGACACCAGTCCTCACACTGCTGTTTCATCACATACAAATACACACACACACACACACACACACACTCACTCACACTCACACTCACACTCACACTCCAGAGAGAGGACAGAAATGGTCTCGGATGGTGCGCATCAGCGTGTGTGTGTGTCTACTGTTCGTCTTATGCAACAGCCTCTACTTCAACTACAGTAGAAGCCTCAACCTCAGCCTGAAGTTCAACCGTCACCATGGCAACACAGAGCCGCAGCAGCAGCAGTCACCCACACACACTCATCCAAAATAAAGATATATATATATA